CCCTGTGGGATACAAATTTCTTAACAGCTGAAATTCATATACTACTAAAACCCAATAGCCTAAAATATCATATGACTATATTAGATATTCAATAAATATTTTACAAGCTGCCATAACGGATCACAACTCTATATAATTGTGCAATTAGTAAATGGGAGAAAACAAAAATCAAAATGATATGCATTGTCATACATAAGACATGTCATGAAAGATACTATTTCATAAAAGGAGGGATGACTCGGTGGGACTAGGGAAAATACAAACAAAACTACAATTTACACAATGAAAGCTTGAAAGGACTTTATAGAATGCCTGAAAATTTTCAATAAAAGTTTAAACCTAAAATGACTTAGTTTATATCTTTAAAACACATCAGTGTAACCAATTCACACTGATGTATAACACATACATGAATGGCTAGCCATCACCTAAGGAATAGCAACCCTTCCTTAGGGTGTCTTTGGGGGAGTGGAGAGAAATGTATCTATATTCCATCCACACAGCAATTCCTTTTTTTTAAAATTTTTTTTTAATGTTTTATTTATTTCTAGGAGAGAGAGAGAGACAGCATGAGCAGGGGAGGGTCAGAGAGAGAGGGAGACACAGAATCTGAAACAGGCTCCAGGCTCTGAGCTGGCAGTCAGAACAGAGCCCGACACAGGGCTCGAACCCACGAACCGCGAGATCATGACCCAAGCGAAAGTCAGAAGCTTAACCAACTAAGCCACCCAGGAGCCCCAAGCAATTCCTTAAAGTACAAAGGTTGTCAGTCTTCTACTCAACAGGACCTCACATTTTTAATTTATGATTTAATACAGAATAAAAGATTCAACACCTCTAAAACTGGATTTTCTGATGAGAAGATCTGATTCCTTTGAACCACTGTTCTGTGTTAAAGAAATTCAACTATAACTTTAGACTTATTCCTAGGAAAAACAGCTTGTGATCTTTTAGTTATCTAATCAAATTTTACCAAAAATGTTTCTTATTTTTCTTATGGTTCCCATCATTGACTTTATCTGCTATTTGATCACACACTGATAATAACAGCATCCATGCCAGGGATTTCCATTATTTTCATTTTCTACATTACTTTTAATATCACCCCACCCCCTCCCAATAATTCCATTCCTACTTTTGTTCTCTTCTCTCCTTATTCCCAAAGAGACATTTTTAAAGCTAAGATTAGAGATAAACCTTTTACTGTACTTTGATCAATACTTGCTTGATGTGGACTATATTGTGTTTGGCTTGCAAATCTTGATATTTCAGGAAATTGTTGTTTTATATGCTTATTTTTATGAACCAAATTATAGTGTTAAATCATGTATAGAGAACCATTTCTGAATTAGTGTTTTATATGGCAAAAGAGTGACTTCTGTGTGACTTCAGAAAATTTGGCTCCCAGTAGGATCAAGACCTGTCTTGGGCTAGTTATTTGAGTAGAATCATCTGTCTTGGGGCTTCTTCTCACCACATCACACTGAAAGTTACGGAGAATCTGATGCCAAATTAATTTTATACACCAAGCCCATCTATATTATAATTTTGAGGTGCATAATGGGATTCATAATTCATTTCAGCACTTCTTCAATTCATGTATTAATCGCTGCCTCTAATTCTTTAAACAAACTGCTGAGAACTTTAGCAATTTTGGAGCATTCTATCCTTCAGTCCTTTGAGAGCAAAGGTAATAAACAAAGTTTGTTTCCAGAGTTATAAGCCTCATAGGCATTTACTGTGCATTAACTTTGCAACACATGATGGCACTCTATGAGGTGCTTTGTGTCCCGGCTGTGTCCTATAAAACTGATGGCCACATTTCATAAGAGAGTTGTAACTTAGAAATTCGCTTTTCCATAGACCCATTACAAGCTATTAAACAAGAGTTACCGATACTTTAAATTTATATTTTATTTACAATTTTCATTGTTTTTCAAATTCAATTTTAATAGAATCATCAACAAACCTTAACAGTGGATATTAATAAGCATGGCAACATTTCATCTAAATAACTATAGATAATTGAATTCTGTTCATTTTTTAAAGTTTATTTATTTTTAGGGAAAGATAGAAAGACAGAATGCCAAAGAGGGAGAGAGAATTCCAAGCAGGCTCCATACTGTAAGCCCAGAACCTAAAGCAGAGCTCAAACTAATGAACTGTGAGATCATGACCTGAGCTGAGATCAAAAGTTAGATGCTTAACCAACTGAGCCACCCAAGTGCTCCTAATTCAGCTCATTTTTAGTATCAGAAAATTGGAAGATGGTTTTAAGAAATGTAAAATAAATACAGCATTTGGTGTTATATTAGTTTACTTCAGTTACATAACTAAAATTGAAAAGGAAAGACAAAAATATTTGTTCATAATCTCTCCAAAAATTTTCAGGCATAAAATATCATGTAGCAATTTAAAAATGTTCATTCTTCCTCCTTTAAAAGTTAAATAATTTTTATTTTTTTATCTTAAAGAAGATATATATCTTTCAGTATAATGGCAATTTCAAAACTAATAATAAGCGTTTAGAAACTGAAAAATTATAGGACAAGTAAGTTTTTCAAGTTAAAATAAAGAGAAAATACATACTGCTATGACAAAAGAATATAATTGCAAAATTAGAATTTGAGTTATTTACATAATGATCATTGAAGCAATAATTTTGTGTTTTAAGTGCAAAAAAGTGGTTTAGAGAAAATTTTATCTCTTTTTGAAATTCAACCTTTTAGTTATAGTCTCTGAAGCATTCTACTGAGACACATTAAGTATGGAGATGAACACAAGGCTTGTAATAGTTATTAAATGACAGCTCCTAGAGAGCTAATCTTTTTTTTTTTAGTTTATTTATTTATTTTGAGAGAGAGACAGTGCACACAGAGCACACACAGGCAAGCAGGAGAGGGTAGAGGAAGAGGGAGAGAGAATCTTAAGCAGGCTCCACACTCAGCACAGAGCCCAACTTGGTGCTCAATCTCACAACTGTGAGATCATGACTTGAGTCAAAATCAAGAGCCAGATGCTCAACAACAGCCATCCAGGCACCCCTGGCTAATCCTTTTTAATAACTGGCTATTTGAATCATGTTATTGTTTTAATATAACTGACTCTACCAAATAGAATTGATGAATAAATGAACATACAGACAGTCTGTGTGTTTCATTTACATGCCAACTGTCACGGTCACGGCTTGTGATAGCTATCTCAGCCAGAGGATCACAGGAACTGATACAAGTGTCATGTCTTCATTCCTCCTGACCCCTGCCATTTCTGAAGCTGATTTGGTGACCATGTCAGATCACCAATGCACATGCATAACCCCCATCCTGACCTACCTTACTCCTAGGTTGCCCGAGGAGTAGTCTAGGGCAGTGCCTGCTTTCAGGAAATAAAAGAAGGGAGTGCTGTTTCATGGTACATCAACATGCCCCAGACTCCTCTGCTCCTCCCAAATCCACCTGCCTCTGAACATGATGTCTTAGTTGTGTCTAGAGACAGAGTGTAAAAGGTGAGCAAGCTTTGGGTTTGTATCCAAAATGGTAAAGGATCTTATTTTATTCCTTTGCAAACATAAAAACTAAAGTAAAGCTACTACTCATATGCAGTGAATTCCCGGAACAAGCCAATGTTAAGACTGCTTGAAAAGGTAACTTCCTTTCATTTATGTTTATACTCCCAGTTTGTTTTCCAGGATGACTTAATAGTAAGACATTCAACAAGATACAAAATGGTGTTACTCCATTTTGGGACCAATGTTTGGGAACAAACTCCAATGAAGGAGTATAAGTTGATGCTCTATTCCTTGGGACCAGGGAGGCAAGAAAAAAAAAATCATAATCTTAATGAGAAGCAAACAGTGGTAGTGGTGAAGAGAAAAAACAGGAAGGACTATTAAAATAAAGACAGCCTCATTGTACACACGAAGGTACATAGGAACCTCACTCCCAAGCTCTCTTATCTTGGCTGTAACAGCCCCACTACCATACGTATATGCCACGCAGTGGAAATGACAGCTGCTCCAGTGAGAAAGATGGAAAAGTGTGAGTGTACAAGAAAGTTTTTTGACCCATTTCCAGGGCACATCAGTTTGAAACCCTGAATGAAATTCTTTATAGATACGTTTTTAGGATAAAGAATCGGTGAAATATTAGATAGATAGATCGATCGATCGATCGATCTTTTCATGGAGTTAGCCTAGAGACTGAACCAAAATGGACTTGCAAAAAAAATTAGAAACAAAATTTTTTTTTAAAGTTTGCAAATGCCATAATTGTGTTTCAGTTTATACCATCATGCTATAAGTTATATATTAATATTTTTAAAATGCAAAATAAAACATACTTTAGTAGAGAACAGTAGCACAGATGATTCAAGAAGAAAAGGTTTTCTAAATATATTTTGCCAGAAAAAATATTATTTTAAATTCCATCTTCCTCCTCCAAATGATTCCCTTAGCCAAAATTACACACAAAAAAATGACATCATACATGGTATTGGAAAAAGGATTTCAAATCTATGATAAACCTAAAGTAAACAATGTAACTGTAAATATTTGAGAGTTGTCTGAAGAGACTACCATTCATTTTAGGGTCTGAAATACAACTGTATCACTCCCAGTGGAAACCTTGCTATGCAATATAAGAAACCAAAGTCAGTCTTGTTAAGAGTTCAATTTCTATAATGAAATTCAATACTTGTAGGTCATTAAATCTAACCTCAGTAAATAGTTAGCAATAGGAATAAAAGAAAGAATATGCCACAAACTGAGGGAGAACTTATTCTACAAAACATGAGCAAGAAGAACAACATGGAAAAACAACTCTTGTCTGAACTACCTAGGTAACTAATTTTTTAATTGGCATCTTTCATCTCTACCCATGTTTACTTTTAAAATACTGATCCCAGAGCATTAGTTGAAACATCATAGAGCTGATAATCCAGAGATGTCTATCACCAAGAAGTCTTATTTCTAAGGATAACATGCACATAGTCTATATACTTACTGGAGATGTTGATACTTGGGTTATTCTTAACTGGCTTTCCAAATCTTGTACTCTGTTTTTAAGTTCCATGTTTTCGGTTTCTAAGTCTTGAATCTAAAAAGCAATGATTATTGAATAGCCTTCAGAAATTTATTCTTGTAAGATATTGGCTATTATATTGACTACATTAATGAATAAGATTTCATATTATTTAACATTTTAATGTACTCTTGTGCACAGGGGACAAAATTATTTGATAAAGGCTGGGAAACATCAGGGAATTCTAGGTCACTGGAAAGATATTATTAAATTTAAAATATCTTTTTACATGTGTGCAAATTCCATGTTTCTAATACCTCAGCTCTGTGTTTTCTTGTTGCACTATGCAATCTGTTACCCATAATCTTGGAGTATAACCGCAAGACAGTGAAACTTGCTTATGATTTTGAAGAGAGTGGAGAAAGGGTGTAATTTAATTACAAAGGAATCTGATCTGCATGGGAAACCACTTACCCAGCATCTGCTGCTTCTGCTGCTCTGATCCCCATGAGAAGCATCAGGAAGTGAAGCAAAGTCACATGAGAACACTAAGTTCTTGTGGGAATTCAATATAAAATGGTTAAAAACTGTGCAGGGGATCAGGAATGAAAAATTATAGGAACACAGTGAAAGCAGTTCCAATCAGTGTGGGGGAAATTTAATGGCAGGCCTTCTAAATTTGTTTGATGATCTGCAAGTTTCCCTGTACTTACATCACATAAATGTGAAACAAAAAGTTGAGTTTACTCACTCTTTTCTGTAGTCCTGCGATCTGTTTTCTTGTTTCAACATCTTTTCCTCCAGATTCTAGAAATTTCCTGTATGCCAGGTCAAATGCTTGGCCAATTGTTAAAGTTATTTCTTCAGCCTTTGTAAAAATCAAAGAAGATCTGCATTTTAACAATACTATGTCATGTCAGACTGTTCTTTGAATTAAGGAAAGCATGCACATGAGGAATTTCAAACGGGCAATGGCTGTAGGTAGAGAGAGGTAGAAAATGAATCAAGTCCTTTATGCTAACATGGCAATTCAATGCCTATTCATGCATGACAATGAAAAACAGCTTCAGTAATTAAATGAAAGGTATTGAAGTTGGAAGGAAGAGTTCTACCCACCCTCTCATCTATTTTATCATAGTGTTTTTCTCCTTTCCTCAAATATTTGGCGCCTTTTAAAAGAAAACACAGTGCCCAAACCGCAGTCTCTCTTGTCACTTTGCTACTTATTTGCCCTTCCTAATGAGGAGGGTGTGTTGAACATGGCAGGTAGCTTGAATGAGGCTGACTGGGTGGTGTCCTGGAAAACTTGAGGTATGCCCTCTCTAAGTGGAGTACTCTGTTCCAATACATTGTTGGCTTGTGGAAATGGGCATTTTTCAAGCCAGAGTTGTCAGATTTTAAATATGTGAGATGAGGTCAGAAATCTGAACTTTTATATGAAACATCCCAATTATTAAGTGATAGTAAACCATATTATTATAAAACACAGTGTCTATTGAACAACATAGATCTGTCATCTGAACTTGGCCTCATAAACAAGTTTCTGGATGATCAAGCAGAAACTGCCACAAATGTCCTAAGTCCATCAGTTCATTCCTTCTCCATTCATATCTCAATGGGTATCAGTGTCTTGGACAAAGTAAACACTAAATAAAATGTATTTAGTTTATTAACATTTTATTTAGTAAGATTGGTAAAGGCATTAATTGATTTCATGCATTATGAATATGTCCTATTGAATTATAAGACTTCCAGATGACATAAAAACTGGTGGTAATATTAAATCTTGAAAATGCTATGCTTCAATTTGCTGCAAATCCTAAAACTTTGTGATATGCTATTAAAAATCTAAACTGAAAATAAGCTTTTTAAACACAATTTTTTTAATGTTTTAAGTTTTACTTAAATTCTAGTTAGTTAACGTACAGTGTAATATTAGTTTCAGGAGTAGAAATTTGGTGATCTATCACTTACATATAAAATTCAGTGCTCATCACACAAGTGCCCTCCTTTTTTTTTTTTTTTTAAATGTTTTTTATTTATTTCTAAAAGAGAGAGACAGCATGAACAGGGAAGGGTTAGAGAGAGAGGGAGACACAGAATCTGAAACAAGCTCCAGGCTCTGAGCTAGCTGTCAGCACAGAGCCCGACGTGGGGCTTGAACCCACGAACTGTGAGACCATGACCCGAGGCGAAGTCGGACGCTTAACCAACTAAGCCACCCAGGTGCCCCCACAAGTGCCCTCCTTAATGCCCATCACATTTAGCCCATCCCCCTGCCTACCTTTCTTCCAGTAAACCTCAGTTTGTTCTCTTTTATGGATAACACAGGTTTAATTAAGACATTGTCATTTTTGTAGGTCACTATGTTTACAGAAGGCTTTTAGTCATAAAAAAAAGCTTATAGTGTTTAACTCACTTAAATAAATATACAAAATATATGCCTAAAATTATATTTAAATACCATTTGTCTTACAAAAAAGGTAGAAAAAAGGGGGAAAAGCTACATTAAGGAATGCTAAAGAAATGAAAATGCCAGATATCAAACTATGTGTACTCAATGATTCAAACTAATGAAAAAGTTTACATATTAAAAAAAATCAGTTGAGTTGATTGTTAGGATCACATATAATATTAAAACATACTAAATGTGGTTATAATAGATTGCAGGATGATCATTTTTTTAATATCTCTAACTTCAAAAATTTAGGTGATGTGTTTGTTGCATTTGTTTTATAGGAAGACATATGTGTAAACTGGGTTTTTCCCTCCTTTTAAAATTATACTGTCCTCTTAATAAGACAATATATTGCCCTCAAATATTCAAGGTACACACTACAGAGAATCATTTCAGTGGAACAAGTTTGGTTCATCATTAATAATATTTGATTTCATTATAATTATTTGTTTACAATAACTTCTAAAAAATCATAATCTTTTTTATAAGACATGTCTTTTTATTAAAACAGAATTTAGTTCCCTAGTAAATATTTTGCATAAATTACCTCCCTTGATTCTTATAATGAATCTATGAGGTGGGGATTATTATTATTACCTCCATAATACATTTGAGGGCTGCACTCCTTTTTTTTTTTTTAAATGTTTATTTGTATTTAAGAGAAGGAGAAGGAGACAGAGGATCCAAAGTGAACTCTGCACTGTCAGTAGAGAGCCCTACATGGGGCTCGAGCCCATGAACCATAAGATCGTGACTGGAGCCAAAGTCAGATGCTTAACCCACTGAGCAGTGCAGGCGCCTCAGGGCTGCAATTCTGGAAGGTCTCAGTTTGTGAGGAGACAATCTGCATTCATGACCAAAATATTTTGCTCTACATGTCTCAGACTTTTTTTTTGATAAGCAATAAAATGTATAGATCATATTTGTACAATCAGATTGTACTATGATAAATGTATATATACCTATATAATCGTATCATTAAACAGAATATTTCTCCCATCCCAGAAAGTTCTCTGATGTCTACTTTCAGTCATATCACATTTCTTATATGTAACCACTGCTGTAATTTCATCACCATAAATCAGTTTTGTCTGTCCTAATATCCATGAAAATAAGCCATATAGTATATACTCTTTTTTATCTGTCTGGCTTCTTTTGGAGTTTCTCAGATGTTGTATGTATCATTTGTTATATCTTAGTTATAAATAAAACTGCTACAAACATTCTAAAATCATTTTGTGGACATATGTTTTCAAAATCTGGATAAATGTCTACAATGGAAATGCTAAATCATAGAACAATTCTATGTTTGACATTATAAGAAACCATTGAACTGTTTTTGCAAAGTAATTGTAACATTTTACATTCCCACCAGCATTAAGAGAGTTCTAGTTGCTCCTCATTCTCACCAACATCATAGACTAACAATCTTTTTATTTTGTCACCTTACTGGATGAGTGAGGCTATCTGAGTGTTTTTAATTTGAACTTCCTTGTTGAGTAATTACATTAGCTCAATTTCATGAATGACTAAGCTAAGAAGATTCCACCCCCCCCCCCCAATCATTTAATGAAATGCAAGGAGCAAGAATGTTTTAAATTAAAAAAAAATCTTTATTTCAAAAAATTATTACAAGGCAAACATGAAATATAATAAGAATATACAATAAATAGCTTACAAATAAAGCTTGTGAAAGGGCTGGGTGTAATAATTCCTTTCAGTAATAATAATCTAGGATTTTTTTGACACATGAACCCTTTTTCACAGTTAACAAGAGAGAGGTTTTAAACTTTGCCTTATTTACGTCTCTTTCATCATAATTAAAGAAAAATGTGAGGGTGGGGTGAAGCTTTCATCTGCTTATTGGGGCTACTACTTAAATTATATCAAGTGCAATATCCAGTGCATAAAGTATATATATTAACATTTGGAAACAAAACTGAAAACATGATGGTTAAAGGGTTCATAATGACTGTATATTCACCTTATATTACAGAAACCAAATCAATCACATCATAATGAATATCCTCATTCTAATTTCATTTTTTAAACTTAATGAGATGACTATAGTAGTTGTGTAAATATTAAATCGTAATAACACAACATACTAATAAAGTAAGTTCCAGTTTTGTGGCATACTAGAATAGGCCTTCCTCTAAATTTCAAGCAAGCTCTTAGAAATTCACAGAAGTATTGAGTATATAAAACAGAAGTAATTAAGAGAATGAAGCTTGGCCCCACTAAAAGCAGAGGGGTTCTGGTTGGAGAGGTCCCAGTCATGGCAATAATATAGTATGATGGAAGAATGTGAAATGGAAATCTAGGGTGTTGGGCTGTAATTCTGCTTCTCTTGCTACCTAGTTTTGTGACTCTGAGGAAAGCATTAAGTCTCTCCGACCTAGATTTGCTTAAAATAAGATGAAAGGGTTGGGCCAAATAGGGCATAATTTATTTTCCAGGCTTTTTTTTTTTTTAGATTAATATGCAGTTATAGGAAATAATAGAGATCCTGAGTAGCCTTTATCCACTTTCTCCCAGTGGTAACATAATACAATAAAAAAAAAAAAAAAACTGTCTTACAAATCACACCAACCAATATGGATATTAATATAAACAAGATACAGAATAATTCCATCACCGCAAAATTCCTTCATCTTGCTATTTTATAGCCACACCCTCTTCCAGTCTACCCTTACCATTTCCTTACACCCTGAAAATCACTATTTTCTTTAATCTCCATTTCTTTAATTCTGTCATTTAAAAAGTATTCTAGAAATGGAGTCATACAGTATGTAAGCTTTTGGGATTGACTTTCTTCACTCCATAATTATCTGGAGAGTCATGGAAGTTGTTGCATGTATTAATAGTTCATTCATTTTTCTTGCTCAGTAGTATCCCATGGATTGGATGTACCAGAATTTGTTTAACTGTTCATCCACTGTCTGAAATATTCATAGTTTGGGACTATTGTTAATAAACTGCTATAAACATTCATGTGTAGGTTTTTGTGTAAACACAAGTTTTTATTTCTCTGGGATAAATGCCCCAATGGATCATGTTATAGTTGCATGGTTAGTGTTTTATGAAATTGCCAAACCGCGCTACGGTTTGTGCTATTTTATATCCCCATAGCTATGTACAAGTGAACCATTTTTCCATCTCCTCACCAGCACCTGGTATGTCTACGATTTTTGTACTGTAGTCTTTCTAATAGCTGCATAGTGACCCCTCATTTTGATTTTAATTGGCCTTTCCCTAATGGATACCAATGTTAATATCTTTTCATGTGTTATTTGCCATCTGACTATCCTCTTCAATGAAATGATCCTTCATATCTTTTGCCCACTTTCCAATTTGATGAATTGTTTTCATGCTGTTGAGTTTTCAAAGTTGTTCGTCTGATAGAAGTT